ATTAAAAGGTGTCACTCCTTACGCGCACTTTACAAAAATTACAGCTCTAGCAAATTAAAAGAATGTGTACGTATTCTTAAAACAAATTCGTGATTGTAACAAATTTCTTTCAACGTGCAACTTTTAAAGATCAATAAAGGAAGGGAAAACAGCAAGTTATTATGTAAATCATGTTCAAATTTCAATACGTGAAACGACTGTTATTTTCTAATCGAATAACATAAGATTCGGCGGTGCGGTGAATCATTATCTATTATCCATAATGTCTTTCTGTCCTGCCTTTCACACAATCATATATGTTGATTAGCAATTCAAGTGATAGTTAATTTATTTAAAGACACGTGCGCAAACAACAGATAACGGCAATATTACAGATTGCAGTGAAATGGTATTCCCCTTTTTCCTAGAGACATATCGGTGAGTTCACCATCGAGAATAAACAATAGAAATATTACACAGATTGCAATAAAATGATCTTCCCCTTTCGCGGAACATCGGTGAACTCATCAGGCTCGAGGATAAACAATGGAAACGATAATTTAAATAAACCGTTGCAACACATGTAACAAAGTAGTGTAGGGAAACAGCAAAATTTGAAAAAAGTTGAACCGTCTTTGGTTTGCCCTAGATTACTGAAAATCTTATTAAAGTTAACCTTTAATCACTTCATGGTTTAATTGATTTGATTTATATTTTGTAGAACTATAAAGGTTATCTAGTATTTAGAATTTGAAAAAATTAAGCCCTTTATAAATTTTTCAGATGAACAAATGGACCATATACTGAACTATGGATTATGCAATTATACACCAGAAATTATAAAGTTTGCTACACTACTTAGATCCGACTGCACCAATGTAAAATTTACTTTAACTTCGGATCAATTTACTCATCATCTTTTTCTAATTTTAAGAATTAGAAAAAAAATAAACAGCAAGTTAAACCAAGATTCAAGTTAATCTAATCTAATATAGTGGAACTAGGTCTTAGTAAAAATAAATGCAAGTGTAGATTGGAATCAGTAAATTCTGTTAATAATTATCCTTTGTTGAGATATCAATATTATATCAATATTATCAGTATTATATCAGATTAATAGTATGTTACACTGAAGTATTTATATACTCCTCCAACTAAACTTTACTAAACGATGCCAGTATACATCAGAATCTGTAAATACGGCAATTCATAAGATGTAAGTAATTAACTATAATGTTTCATATATATTGAGTACTTTTCATTGCATTAATATATTAATATAGTCAATTTATTATTTGATCTACTGCGAATATTTGGTAAACTTTAATAATATAAAATCTCTTGTCATGCCTATACTCAATAAAAAAATTGCGTGTAAAATTACAACAATTACAGGTAATTTTAAGACCCATTATTAAAAGTATTTACGTAAGTAAAATTACAAACGTAGATAAAATTATTCATATTTATAGCGATTAAACAATTGGCAAAAGTAATTTACGTTTAATTAAGTTATAAAAATACTCACGTAATAATTCATCAAAGAATTACATATATTTTTCGCTACATTACTGAACGTAAATTTTTTTCAAACATGCGTTTAAATTCTCGCGGTCCAATAAGATTTGGTATATCGTAAATTTTTTTTATCTTAAATGTCACTTTTCCTTTGCAACATATGTACGAATAAAAATTAATACGTATACAATATTGTATTATCACTATATGTTATGCATTATAAAATTTAAACACATATTTACATAAAAATTATAAAATATTGTAACACTCTCTCTCTCTCTCTCTCTCTCTCCCTCCCCCCCCCCCCTCCCTCCCCGTGTCTGATATAAATATATATTTTTGCAAGATAAAAATACAAATTTTTGTAAAATTGTACAATTTTAGATATTTCTACTATAAATAATACACATATAAATTGTGTAATTTTTACACGTATTGTTTATATAATTTTATGCACATTTTTTTACAGTGCAACATTATATAATATATTTCTTTAGGAAACGCTTCTCTGAAACATGTAAACCGTGAACAGTAGAATAGAACATAAAATTAAAAATTATTCTTTATATAAGTAAAAAGTAGATCACTTATTAGAAGTAACGAAAAAAAAGTTTAATTCAAGATCTAATGGTAGGTATTATACAAATTCCGATGAAAATTGAAAAAGATGATTTGCATCCGCTCGGAAATAAAACTTTGTTGTAAAATGTAAGCTCTCGAATTACGTTTGCTACATCATGATAATTTCATTTTAAATGCAATAACGTAAAAGTAATGTTTCCTTTCAACCTTTCGCAACATGGCAAATAGCTGGAAGGTGAGGGCCGTTCTAATTATCGTACCTTACCACAGGGCAGTCAGGACAAGGATTAAAATTATATATGAAATGATCTTAGATGTATTTAATGTGTACTGTCGCTCAAAGATTCTTTTTACATGACGTCAATATGAATGGTTCCACACGAATAACTGTAAAAATTGTTATTATGGTCCGAATGTTTGTATTTCAATACGCAGTCAGCCGGATAGTTTTACGGTCCAAATAACTCAAAACGAACATGTTGTTTACGGTACCAAATTATTAATCAGGTATAACCCACACATCGGAATTTTCTCTTACCCCGAAATGAATCCGGTGAATGTTGTCTTCGATCAAACCTTCACAAAATTCGATAGGTAATTATTACTCCAATAGGAATTGATTTAAATGTTAAATAAAAATTACGCAAATTTTCCAATTTTAATTTCTGCAAATATAAATTATTCTATTTAAAAAATTTGTAATGTGATCTTTTCTCATTTACTATTAATCACATTATCAGATAAATTATGTGATTATCTTAATATTGAATATTAATAAGCAACTTATTTACCAATTTATTATTTATCTAATTACGGTAAAGATTGAAGTTTCCAATAGAAAGTTGATGACAGAGTAGAAATTAATTCTGTTGACATATATATAAATTTCTGATTAAACTGATCAAGTTATATAATTAATTTAATATCCATTTTCATGTTAACTAATTTATTAACCCTGCTGTTAATTCTCCTGCAATATCCAGGCCTAATTACAAAGGATTATATTTCTTTAGATATATGTCACCTATTATAAATATCCGTTGATCCAACAGTACCTATATCTCATCTAAAAACTATCTTGGCTAGTGATATCATTTTAGTAAATCAGTATGCTCCAAGTAAATTTAACATTCTGTAATATATCCGTTTAAATAATGACCGGAAGAAAATTGAGTGTGACTATTCCTTTTATAAAATAATTATAGTTCGCCTGTCCAATAATTATTATCTTTGCCTTTCCATCATTACAGAAAACTAAATAAAAAGAAATATACAATCCCAGATTGTCGTTTATTTTTATCAATGAATATTAAAGACAGGTAAGGCATAAAACTTACTGAATTTTATTACAGAAATAAAATATTGTACTATAAGATATTTTTCTGGAATAAGATTTGTATGTTATGTGTTAGAAAAAGAATTAGAATAAAGAAAAATTTTATCGTAAAATTAAAAACGATTAAAAGATATAATTTGAGATCGAAATTATTTGTCGATATATATAAACTTGTACATAGAGGGAAGTAGCTTTGACTTAATAAATTAAATAATATATAAAATTTAGTAATAAAATTAGCTCTCATAAATCATTTTTTAATTATTTTAAATTTTAAAATAAAAATTTTTTATTTTATAATAATTTTTCTTTATTAAACGGATATTTTCTTTCAGCACTAAATCAAAGTTTGCAAAAGATGTTTTTATTCATTACGTTCAATCTTATAAGAAACAGTATCTTTGTAAGATAGCAGGAACAATAGACGAAAAGCAACTTCAAAATATTAACAAATGTCACATTTGTCACAAATGTAGATGTGATAAAGACCGCATTATTCATCCTGACAATTTAACAGTTGATGTAATCTTATTAATTTTCTTATTTTTAAATTATGTTTCATTCCTAGTAATCTAAATTTTCACGTACAGTTGAACATAAACGTGCCTATAGACAATCTTCTCAAAAAAGTGATAAACTACATTAAATATAAAATGATTAAAAATATTGATTTACCTAAATTAAAAGACACACACTACATAGGAATAATATTAGGAATTACAATACCATGTTACTTCAATATACATAATGGAATTTTGAGGTGAGCACTGTTATAACACAAACGAGAAAATTAATATATATTTTGTACAATATTTTTATTGAATGATCTACTTTAATAAGATAATTAACATTTCAGAAATCTTTCGGATCTCAAAAGGACAGAAGATGCAATTATATCCAACGTAGGACGAACACAAAGTATACAAGCTGGCTTTGGACTTTCCACGGTTAAGTTTCAATATAATTATACGGTAAGGATTATAAATTGTTAAATGTTAATAATTAAAAAATATTAGGCATAAAAACAATTCAATCTTTGGGTAAATTAATATTTATCTTAATACACAGTTTACAATTGGGTTTATCACATTCAGTGGCAAAATAAACGGAACTGTTGATGGATTATCAATAGTGGCAAAACTAATCATTGATTATGATAAAGAGTGCAATGTAAATGTGAAGTACGTCAAAGTAAAAATTGGCCAAATTGCTCTACAAATAACTAATTTAGGTCTACTCACTAATTATATCACTAATTATATCACTTCGTTAATAAATACTGAAGTGCATAACAGAATCGAAGATTTTGAGAAGATCATTGAACAGAAAATCAATAAATTTTTGAAAAATCCAACTATGATAATATAAAATATGATATATTTGTACTTTCACTTTTTAATTAATGTAAGTCATTATCGTACCAAGAATTTTTATGAAATATCAACACTTTTTAAATAATAATTTTTATTGTATTATACAGCAAAGTAATTAACAATAAGTAATAAAAATGAAAAATTGTACTTGAAAATTCCAATATTTTCATTTTATACTATAGAAATATACATATACATACACATTTGTCTGTATAATTTTTGTAAAATGTTCGTTAAAAAATGCAATTGTTTTATATGTTAATATTGAAAAAGACTTGAATAGATTCAATTAGACTATGCATCGTTATTTGTATCAGGAACTTCTGCTAGTTTAGCAATAACAACTTCGGAAGTTTCAGCTTTTTGTGCGTTATTATCTATATATTCTTGATGGGAAGAATTATTTTCATCTTGCTCTAAAATTTCGTTTGTTTCAATATCATTGTTAGAATTAGTAACTACAGAATTATCTTGCATAGCATCATTATTCATGTTGCTAGAACACTGTACTTCCATAGCAGTATTATTACTTGTACTCATTGCATGCTTCAAAGCTAAATATTCCTTCACTGATCCTGTTGGAGTTTTCTTAAATGCAACAATTACATCAGTCGTCAATGGCTGTACAGATAAGTTTGGTGATTTATTCAGTTTGTACAATCTTTGACGTTCCCGCAAACGTTTCCGGATCTCAGATTGTATCTTCGATTCTTTTATTACATTTTGAACGTCATCAGTCTGATAATAACGTGAAGTCCAAGTCTCAGCTGAATCCGAAACTAATTTTGACAAATTAGTTTCGGATACAGATTGCTCATTTTTTTGCTGAGAAAAGACATTAATTTCATCTTGACTTTTATCTTCATCGCTATTGTCTATCTCCATGACTTCACAGTAATCATCTAAATCAATATCATCTACATCCGTCGATTTCTCTTCTTCGACTTTGTTTTCTTCTGTTAATTCCTGTTTTGTTTCATTTCCTTCTTCGCTAATAATTTCATTTTCGTCAAAAGAATTTAATTTCGACTTAATATCTTTATTACTTGATTCCTCATTAATCTCAGTGATATTAATCTTTGTTAATTCTGGAGAGTTTGTAATAGTAGAAGTAAGTTGTAATTTTCCACGTGACTTTTTCTTCGACTTAATATCTTTATTACTTGGTTCCTCATTAATCTCAGTGATATTATTCTGTGTTGATTCTGGAGAGTTTGTAATAGTAGAAGTAAGTTGTAATTTTCCACGTGACTTTTTCTTCGACTTTTTCCGTCTCTCGGCAACATTACCTGCAGAAATCGATATTGACAATGTATTGTTTTTTATATCTACATTTCTATCGGGCATTATTGCCTTATTTGTGTTAATTAAATGTGTTTTAGTTACAGTATTTATACTATATAGCTCTATTATTCTTTCATTTTCTTTACTTTTCTTCAAATTTCATAAAATGGTTTTAATAGAATTTTCACCTGAATTGGTTACGGGTTTTCCAGCTTCGGCCACACAATCGTTTTGCAACTCTTCATTTACTTGTGCTTCTTCTCTGTCACTATCACTAGACAATTCGACAACTGGAGCAGGATTAGGAATTACTAAAACAACATCTTCATCTTCGCCTTTAATACTTTGTTGAGAATTAATAATTTTTTCTAATTGTTTGCGGCAATTCTCTTTCGCTTTGTCATCTTCAGATGTCCCAATGTTATTTTCTGTCGCTAGAATGTCATTTGTTTGTAATGAGCTAGAAGGAATTATATCTTCCTCTTTTCGTATTAAAGCTCTTATTGCACGAGCTCGCATTTCTAGCTCTAATAAATCTAACAAGCTGTTTCCTTCTTTTCCTTTATCTTTTTCATCTTCCTTTTTAATTTTAGTGTTTTCAGTTTTATCAGTACTTTCGATTTTAATGTTACATTTTGTTTTAACATTAGGCTTATTTATATTATTTTTTTTATTAATCTGAACTTTTCCTTTAATTTTTGTTTTATCTTTCTTTAATTTTCCTTTTGCACCATTCTCCTTGGTAGATGTATCATCATCGGTTAACCATTCCTCAGTATCAGAAATAATTTCTAAGGAAGGACCTGTTAAGAGGAAATTATAAATGAACAAATTATTCTATAAAACTTACATTCTATTTTTAAATATCTGGTATTTATATACCTGAATCATTAGAATCTTCACTTATATCTGAAGATTCCAACATAGGATTGCCATTTAATATAGATAATATTCGAGCTTTAGACATACCATTTAATTCACTTTCACACCATTCTTCAAGTTCATTTAAATCCATGTGCTGTATGAATAAAGAATAATACGTACTACTTGTGTGTTTAAAAGAATATTTTTATATAATTATTAAATATTTAAAAAATAATAGAAATTAAATAGACTATGAGTCTCTCTAAGCTAAGATGTAAGATACTCTTTAATATAAACAAAAAGTAAAACACAAAACTTACAAACGTTTCTACCCTTATCGGATCATCAGTGTAAACAATCTGAGACACTACCGTGTCTCCAGATTTAAACATAAGTACAATTATATATCAGAATTAGATTCTTTTGTATATAACGTTAAAAATGAAAAGTTTAATAGAATCTAATTCTGATATGTAATCGTACTTGTGTTTAAATAGTGTTTACACTGGTGATGACCCAATAAGAGGAGAAACGTTTGTGTTTTACTTTTTGTTTATATTAAAGAGCACCTTACATCTTAGTTTAGAGACTCATAGTCTATTCTATTATTTTTATTATTTTTTATTTATTGAGTCTCGTTATTATTAATAATTTTTTAATATTTAATAATAATATTTCACACTATAAGAACTCACTTTAAGAACTTGTGGTAACATGAGACGAATCTTTTCTGGCTTAACAGATTTAAAAAGTTGTCTAGCTAATATTTTACGATCAGATAAATATTCTCTAATTGGCTTTAAATCTCTTGCATCAATCTCTTCTTCATCCGATGATAATGATGAAGATGTGTACGAAGATGCACTGCTATATTCCTAATAATAAAATTATTTTTAAAATAATGTGCACTAAAAATTGTTTCGTAAAATTTTTATAATTAAAAGCAAAATGTTCTATAAATATATAATTACTGATAAGTACCTTGTTGTTGCTTACACTATTTTTACTCTTAGACATCTTTATGTTTAAGAAATAAATACTTCAATCTGAATAAACAGCAATGAACATTGAAATAAATTACATTAATTTGTAAAACAATTCACACATAAAATATTTTTATCTGAAAAATGTATAGGTTAATAGACCTCTATCACAATCCTGTTATATTATCTTATATTTTCTATGTTAAAAAATAAATCTATGTTTACAGGTAAAAAAGAAATTTTGAAAAATCACATAAAAAAATTAATAAAAATACAATTAAAAGTAAATTTAATAGAAGAATGAGTCAATTATAACCTATTTCTAGGTTACATACTTTTACCACTGTTTCAATACGTAATTGACAGAAATTACTATTGTTACCGTTCACGATTATATATATGTAAGATATTTACTTGGTTTATTAGATACAAGTTTATTATAGTAAACAGTACTTATTTCTTGTGACAAGTATAATTGACGTTACTAGAAATTCCTGCCTGTCTTGTTTACACATACAAAATTTTGTGATAGCGATTTAAAAGAAATGCGCCATCATTTGGCGCATTCGACAACGACATCATCGCATCCGATAAAGATTTACTGAGAGCATCGTACAGATGTCACTAAATGAATGTGCCAGCACTGTCACATTTCAATGCGACAATATAATGCGATATAACCTGTACTGTTGACAACTGTTTGTCAACAAAATGATATTAATCAAATATAATTGCTGAATGTTCGCTCACAGTAAGTACCACCGTATTAGAGAAACGAAAATGTTTCACAATAAAATAGATATTGCCTTAAATGTATTTTTATAATGGAAGCATTTGTCTTTGACAGGCATTTGACAAATAACCAAGTTTCCAATTAAAGATTAATCAATTTTGAGAGTTTTCATATATCACATATCGTTATCTTTCTCTCGGTGCAGAAACAAATATTCATGAAACTCTGGTACTATGCTGATTGAGCATAATTTATGATACTATTTGTCTAGTGTAGTGCCAATCAATTCTTCGGCTAGCACCTGTGTAACTCAAGGAACAAAAATGTTGAACCGCTTTAAATCAGTATTAATGAGTGCTGTAGGCGCAAGTGAGCTTGGCCTACAGTACCCTAATGATTCAGACAATGATATGATGACAGATTATATTAATTCTAATTATGTGGTAGAAGTAGAAAATAAACCTTACAGTCGTCCAAGTTTTCTAGGCTTGACAGCTGAGGAAACACAGGTATTTGCAGATCCTTATATTAATTTGTTACATGAATTATATAACAAATTGATCTATGTATTTCTTAACACTTATAATCTAATTGTAATGATATTTATATGAATATCTCTGTATATATTGAATGGTTGTATTAAATAGGTGAGTGCAGATCACAGAGTAAGGCCTATAATAGTTCCAAGAGATCTCAGCCGTTTGCCGTGGTGTGCTGGCTATGCAGAATGTATAAACGCTGGAAAGAGTACTTGGAATGAGGATCAAGCCTCAGCAACACGTGGAGATTTGAAGTTATTAGACATTAATGTTACACTGCCTTATGTCATGTTTTCAATGTTTGATGGACATGCAGGATATCAAGTGGCTCTTACAGCAAGATTACATCTACATAGGATAATTCTTGTGTGTGCTATCTTTAAGAAAATTGTTATAAATAATTCGATATATATATATTATATAAGATATTCATATTGACAATATTTGAAAACAGGAAAGATTATTAGCTATACCAGGCAATATGCTATTAAATGAAGATGAAAATGAACTGATAAAGGGCAGAGATCTAGTGACAGGTGCTATAGAATTAGCATATAGACAAATGGATCAAATGGTGGAGATGCAAGCTCAAAATGGTGGCGGTGGTTGTACTGCTATTACAATTTTATTTCTTAATGGACGACTTTATGCAGCAGGAGCTGGTGATTCGAGGTATGTTATGTTTTAATTCATATCTGTATATAAATAATATATTGTATATTATATTTTATAGAGTATGTATAATGTATTGTACATATTATAGTATAATATAATATGTATTATATTATATTATATACATATTATTGATATGTAATATATTAAGTGTAGTAAAAAGAAATCCATTATTTTTGCATGAAATCTATTGGAAAAATAATGGATTTCTTTTTACTAACACCTAATATATATGCATGTATTCAGTAAACACGAACAGTAACAGTTGGTTATAATTCCCCATTGAACAATATTTTAATGTTACATATTATATTATAACAAAAATGTTTATGAGAAATTATTATTAACAGTATTAGTCTTAATTAGTGTTTTGTAGGTAATATATTGTGTGATAAATTACATATCTGTTATTGTTTTTATATGATTACAGGGCTGTATTAGTTTTGGGAGAGGAACAACGTGCTCTTACTAGAGATCATACTCCAGATTCTGAATCAAATCGTGTTAGAGCTTTAGGTTTTCTAAGAAGCAATGAGTTGCTCAAAGGTCATTTTACTCCATTGGAGTTTAGAAAGAGACCGTTACAAAAGGAATTAGGATCTATGGTTTTATACAGAGAACCTTTCATGACAGGTTGGGCATATAAGACTTTAATGCATCCTGATTTAAAACTACCGCTTATTTCGGGACATGGAAAAAGGGTACATTTTAGCAATAATTCATACATTTTAGCAATAATTCATAATTTTAAATAAAAATACTCTTGTTTATGATCTTATAAATTATTTGTAACGTATAGAGCAGAGTAATGGGAACGATAGGCGTAACTAGAGGCTTTGGAGATCATGGTTTGAAAGCTGCGAATACCGGTGTTAATATCAAACCATTCCTATCGTCGCAACCTGAAATACAATCTTTGGATTTGGACAGTTGTAATCTTACCGAACGAGATTGTATTATTGTCGCCACGGACGGACTTTGGGATGTAGTATCAGATAAAACAGCGGCAGCAATACTTAGAAAGACTCTTGCACCTGATACTCCATCATTAGAATATAGGTATCATCGCAAAATATATATGCAGAAATTAATTATATAATGTACCTATGATAAAGTACAATGTATCTATTGGTTTTCATAGACTCACAATGGGTGCTCAAGAATTGGTGCAAGCAGCGAGAGGTCGATTAATCGGTAGAGTATGGATGGGAAAACCGGAAAACCCTAGCGATTCGGACGAAAAATCTTCACCTATAGCATCAGTGGATGATATCAGCGTGTTAGTAGTACCTTTATATCCGTATTTATGTGAGCATAAACAATGGCTAAAAACAACACAGCAAGAACGAAAATATGCTGCAGATTCCTTAGCAACAATGTGCTTCGATTATCCTATTTCTAATAGATCTACTGATAATCCTGCATAATGAATTGTTACGTAATTAATTTAATCAAATTTAATAATTTGATCAAATGCTTTGCGAACATTAGTGACAATGTTATTATTCAACATGCAGCTGACGAATTACATTTATTTGCATTACTATAATGATCTATCGTATATTCACGATGATTTTTATTTTATTGTGAAATAATTAGTGATATTTAGTGCACGTATATTCTCCTTGATTTGCAAAATACTAAATTATTGCGTACTGCCACATATTAATTACAAATAAATGGCTATGTTCTTATTATTTAAGTAAACATTCCACTGTGACATTATTTTATATAACACAAAATATCTACAATATTCCGAATATATGTGATACGTGTGATCATGTATAAGCACCTCGTATATAAGCATTAATTTCTAGATTGTTACTAATGTATAACTAATATAGATTACATACAATGTAATATTGCGCGCATATAGACTGTACACAGTGGCTGCTTTTCAATTGTAAAATTACTAGGATACTTTCGTGCATACGGCGACACAAATTGAGTTTCAATTTCATCGATATAATATTTTACGTACATTCAGTCCAAAGGTTACTAGTCAGTTGTGTAATGTTGAATTCGGTCACTCACACTACACACTGGACTAGTACATATTAAATACTATTTCTTATAAAGAATCTAAAGTGGCACAAAATATACTATAATTAACTTTAACAATTAAATAATATATGTATGCTCTACTAAATAATACGACAGTGTCATTATTGGCATTAAAATGTTCAAATATTCATATACACTGAAAAAAATTGGTGAATTTTAATTTATATTTGTTTCAATAGTACTAATGAAATATTTACTTAAATATTTATTTTAAAAAGTTATGCTTATGTTAAATAAATATGTTTACATTAATAAATATTTCGTTAGTAAATAATAAACCAATGAAATAAATATTTATTAGTAATTTTTTTTTTAGTGTATAACTTTTACATTGAATTTGTTAATTTCATGTAAAGCAGCTTTTAGATCCGATTAATTTAGTTTAATACAAGTAACTGAATTTGCTATACTTGGATTTTCTAGTGACCAATTACATATATGTTACCAATCACTGCGAGATTGAAGGATGTTAGGTGGCCAATATTATTATTATTTTTTATTTTGATACAAGTTAAAAAAGTTATATTTAATATAACTATCCGAAACTATGCACAGTGTATACATTTTGTCCAAATGAATCATGCTATACTTTGTACATTCCTGTGTATGTTGTATCAAAATATATTAAGCAATTGAAAAGCATCCAATGTAATATTAAAAGATATATTTTTATATTGCTTTTGAGGCAAAGCATATGTTACCATTCAATATTTTGAATTTATTATAACATTTTATCTTCATAGTTTTATGTTAAAAAAAAGTATTAACTCTATGACTATGAATGTGTTTGTGTGTGTGTGTGTGTATATATATATAATATATAGTTACAACTGAGACTGCTTTATTGAAAATGAGTAAATTTTAAATAAATAGTTAATTGACTCTCTACATATACATTTTATTGCTTTATTATTATATCGATACTTTTCAATCATTAGGAATATTAAGTTTTGCATATCGTAGTCAAAGAGTTAACAGAAATTAAAATTGTAAGTATGATACGTGATGTGTGTGTGTATGTGTAAAAAATTGTACATACAACAAGCATTGCTATCCTATTCACAGTAACCATGATAATAATTAGATTTTATGACATCATGTATTACACAATTGTAGCTATATTATATTAAATAAATTAAATAAATATACGAATATCTCTATTATATGCTTATGTTTACTTTGACTTCAGTAATCTTGGAAATTACTTTACAAGAACATTTCATATGACGATGATTTAATTTTCTAGCTTATATTTTATTTTTAATGTGTATCATTTTCCATGTTTTTTTTCAAACATACAGATCATTTTTGCAAGTAACATTGGAATTTGTACTCACTAAAGCTGGATCGTCTTTGAACTACGGTTCTGCATCAATTACGATCGACAATATGGCGTTGCTTCCTAGGACCCGCGTCGACTGACATGTTCCGGTGATCATCCGTTATTATAAGCGGCACACACTCGACAAAAACTCACACTTGATAAAGAAAATTCGTAATAAGATACGGAGTAAGAATGGTAAATACACCAAACTGTTCGCGCTACAAAAACTATCATGGCGACCGAAACGTACGTCGCGCCGCGCGATTGCGTGCGCCTGCGCGGTATCGTTACGATTCAAGACGACGCGACGAGAAACAATCTGAAACATAAAATGAAATGATTGAAGTTAACGACGAGCATCAAATGCTTTCTACTTCGTCTTCTACTTAACGATCGTATGTTGTAATTGCACAAACTTCGAAAGTTAATCTACGTGCCATTTTTAAAAAAGCACGAAAAAGTTACGAGCAATTGATTATTTCTCATTTATATCTAATTAAAAAAGTTTCTTGAACACAATAGAGACGCGTATAATCACAATTTCAGCTCTTAAAATATGCTTCTTTTGGTATGTACAAATAGTATGTACTTCGATTCTTCCGAGTAAAGATAATAAGGCTCCACGTTTATAACATTATTATTGGAATCTATGTGTTTACCGTAACTGGAGCAGTTTCGGAATCACTGCAGGCAAATGAGAGAAACTTAGAAAGTCATGCCGACCTTTTTCCTGTTACTTACCGTCAAAATCGCTCGTACATCCATTTTCTGGTCCTGTACTACCCGCTAATATCGCATAAGCGCGTTCTAAATACAAAATACGTACAGGCTTATATTTATCTACGTGAAACGCATATAGTGCTGAATTCCGAAAACCGACTAAAATTTTTCGCGCGTCGCACTTATGTACCAACCGAAAGCTAGCGGCAATCCAATGAACGCTCGGATACAGTGAGGAACTGCGCTCATTGGCTGGCATGCAAGTGGCGGGCTTCGAAGTCTGACGGCTCCTATAAATAGCGCGTAATTCGCTGCACTTTCGATCTCACAATTTTACTACTTAACCAAGGAACGGAGGTGTTAATATGTATATACGAGTACTTCGAGCGATTTTGACGAATCCACGATAAACACTAGGATGACCGGTTAGGTTTCTTTCTGCTATACAAGAGTCGACCGCAATCGATGAAATGATGTTGCTTCGTAAATACTCGCGATTTATACGTTCCAACGGTCGCGTCCGTCGATAAAAATTAGCGCTCATTGAACGTTCTTAATAGATAAAATTTGCGATTAATTACGAAGAAGTCGCGATTTGTGTCCCGCACTGTTCGCGCTACTGAAACTACAATGACGACCGAGAAAGCGCTTGAGACTTCGGATGTTTCGATATCCAAGCTGATATAAAATGTAAAGAATCAGAATTCGGAAATGTGATACCACACTTCTAATAAAGATGTATCCATAAACTTTGGCGTATTGAAATCGACTAGTACATGATTAAATTTAATCTACTATTTTTGATACTTTGTAAAATTAACGGAAAATCATTTCGACACGTGTTTCATACTTTGGCTGTAAGATGGCGTTAATGGTATAAAATTGGTAGTCGTGCGTGCCGTGATAACACTAATTAGTTCTCTCAAGTTTACAAGAGATAGCGCCACTGATACAAAATTAGAGTTTAGCGACAAAATTTAAAAGCCATGACATATAAAAGAAACATAAGAACGTGTTAGAAACTATGTGCGTTCCACAGTAGTACATAGTTTTTACGTTGAAATTATTCTCTGTTGCCTGTTTCCTATTCCTTTGATTGTTCGTTTTTCTAAACATAAACAGTAAAGAAATCAACATGTTTAATTGATTACTGTTTACGTTGTTTATGATCTCTAATGTGATCAGTTAATTTGCTTACTACTTATGTTTTACTACTAGTTTATTAATTATTATGTATCATGATCCTAATGTTAGCAAGTTTTCTGGAAATTTTTAAGCTCTTTTAGATGTTTTTTAGATCCCCAAATATTTTTTTATCATAACTTTATTGTATATACTTTGAAATGTGATGCTAAAAAATAATATTTTAGTAAATCATAAAATGGATTAATCATTGAAATATCGCAGAATATTGCAATAATATTTTAGTTTGACGAACATATAAATATTACTACAATATTGAAACAACGTTAAAAAAATTTTTAAAGTAGTGTTGCTGCAATGTTGCTGTAACTAAATTCGTGCCATTTTTAGCGAAATTGTTGCAGAGACAAGGGATTTAAATCATTTAAAACATGAGGTTTCAAGCTTTAAAATGCTTTTTTAATATCGTTCTGTGTAGTTTTTTGCAAAGATAATTTTTAACTTGCTTTTATACAGCGTTGATTTTAAATGATTTAAAATAATTTTAATCTTTTTAGCTTTGTTATGTATATATGTGAAGTACTTGTATACATTTCTAATGGTAATCAATACTCAGTTTGTAGAAAAAAAAATTACATATGTTAAAATTTAAATTACATATTAAAATTACATATTTTAAAATATGTTAAAATGCGTCCATATGTTAAAATTTTCTTGTGTTACCACATTTTGATTATTACTTCAATATAAAATTAACATACAACTGATATGTTATTATTTTTGTAACATTTTAATGTGTTAGATTTATATCACCATTCTAACTTAATAATTTCGTATGTCAATTAAAACTGGAATATTATTTTGAGTGCTTTTAACATAATTTAAAAAGTATACAAATTTAACATAATTTAAAAGTATATAAATTTTTTCATTCACGTTATACGAACAAAAATGTTATATTAATATTTCTTACAAGTCACTGTAACTACTCCTCTACGTACTCTTTACTTATTTTATACGTTAGTTTTAAATCATCTTAATGTCAAAATAACAAATATAAATGTAAAGTATTGTGTCAATTACTTCACATTACTAGTTCGTTAATAAATAACACAAGACGAATGAGTTACATTAACTTAAAATTTAGAGTGGATCTCCTGGGACATGTAAAAAATG